CGTCATGGGTGCAACATTTATCTTATGGAGGGCTTATTAAACCTACTGATGAATGGCTAGCAAAAATTATAGAATGGAATAAATATTTCGAAATATATCACGATGAATCGTATAAAAAAGGCCCCGGAGTTGTACAGAATTAGTCAGTGGAAACAGTTTTACCTTTTACTTTAATAAAAGATTTTTGTAAATTAAGAACTATAATAAGAATTAATTATAGAAATCTTAAACAAGAAAACTATAAAATATTGAAAAGAATGCCTTCTGAAAATGGTGATTGTCGAAAAAAAATTAAAAAGTTAAGTAAGATAATCACATAATAAAAAATATAGCTCATTAATTTGTTAAATAAATATTAGACAAAAGACTTGTAAATTTATTGACGTACAGTACAGTACACTTATTAAATCCGAAAATTCTACAGTAGTTTACATTTAGTAGTAATTTAATAATTAATTAAGAAATGATTTAATATTTTATCGTATTTTGTTATTTGAAAGATCTGTCATGTTGAAGTAGAGGGCTTGCTGTGACGTCACATAGATCCAAGGTCACGCTAACAAATATACGGGATCTGGCTATCCTTGTAGTTTAAAGTCCTTGACCATTGGCGAGTGGATAACACCGAACAGTGGGTAATTGGTTGTTGGTTGCGCATCGTTAGTGAACTGGCCACATGGAATTTTCTGAGTTTCCTTCACGTAACATCTAAATAGGAGCCAATTTTCCATAAAAGTACTCCTGGGAGGAATCCCCCTCGGCAGATCGCCCACGTGTCCCGTTGCTGTAACCAAATAAACCAAGCTTATTCTAATAAGTTTTCTATAAATTACTATTTAAGAAGACTTACTTCCCATGTAGTTTATAGGCATTCTGATAATGTTCTTAAAATGGGTTTTACTAAATACATTTTTGAAATATACTATTAATAACGCCAGCTGTAACAATTACTGAGATGGGTACTTTTATAAAATCCGGGAAACTCCGGGTGTAACAAGCTAATTATTAAGCGCAAAATTTGATGACAAAACGCTGCTCGATGCTGTGCTGCATCTTGACTCTCGACGGAACACTAAAGACACGTTCATTTTGGGCGCAATCTATACACTCCAAAGGCTCGGAGACAACTGAATTGGGTTTTGTAGCTTACGTGACATTACCACCGCTGAACCCGCCCATAGAAACCGTCCTCCACCTCTTCCCATTAAATTAACAGGAAAAAATCAGTCGGGATACTTATTGGACAAATCCTGTATTCGACAGAATTTATTTCCTTCACTAAATAAATAGACTAGTTCCTGCTACTGAGCTTTTTACAGACCAGTCATAATTCGCGAAAGGAGCTATAGTCATGGAATTCAGAGCCGCTTCGACAGGTGAATCAGCGAGATTCCATTTTAGTTTAGATATTTTATCGTTGTGTGTACCTAATCAGGGAAGGAATTTAGGTATCAGATTATTTGGTGTATGTATCGTGCATGACTGTACTGGAATGAGACGTACTGTACTGTACGTCTACTGCCATAAAAGATGCGGGCTCAAATCTGATCCAGACTAAAATAAAACATCATTCATTATTTTTTAAGATTGACTGTCATGGATGACCTTTACATCCCGTGATAAATAAGTAGATTAATGAAGCAATAATAATAAATTGTCTGTACTTATCTATTACATAAATAAACTTAAAACAGAAAAAAAATGTAGAGACAGAATATTGAGGAAATATTTATCTATACTAAACGTTTTCCCAATTTTAGTATTTAACTCTGCTAAATGTTATAAGTACTAAGTATAAAATACTGTATAACAAAATTAATCTTTAATGTTACTTCTTAATTTTTAAATATTTTATTAAAATTTTTGAAAGGTAATAGAGAGGTTGCGGCCGACGTTTTCAACGGGAAAACGTGTACATCGGACGTTCAGCGCCGCTTTCCTGTAAGCCTAGAAGTTTGACAATGGCGTTTGGAACGTCGAGCATGATTCCACTGACGTTCCAAACGCCATTGTCAAACGTCTAGGCTTACAGGAAGGCGGCGCTGAACGTCCGACGTACACGTTTTCGCGTTGAAAACGTCGGCCGCAACCTGTCTATTTTTTTTAAATGCTATTTTTTAAATAACTCTTTCCTCCCTGTAGCCACCAAGAGAGCCTCTTTTAGTAAGTCCATTATGGATTCTGCCAGGCCCTTAATGGGGCATCCAGGTGGTGAGGGACGGGGCCAGATATATCCGGACGGACCATCTCGCCGAAAAATTCCTGGGAATTATTCAACTCGCTCGGATTCGATTCCGGGTCCCTATAGCTGCCACCTTGACTGATCGGCCATCTGGCTGTCGAAATTGAAACAATCAATGTAAATAATTATATTCCCTACACTTATGTTCTTATGTTGTATAATTTGATATAATATTGTGTAAAATGATAATATATATAAAATAATACGATACAATATTGAATAATTATAACATTTTTTTTTGTTTTTTTTAATGTAAAATTAAAAATCTCAAACGGAAACGATTTCGTCGTTAGATGGCGTAAAGCCATTAACTATATTAGAGTAACGACGAACTATAAGATAAAGGTAAAAATAGATTTGGACACATTTAGTAAAAACTTAACACGATTATTATGCATTTATATATATTATATATTAAAATATATTCAGTTAATTTACTTTCTACTTTTTATACGGTTACTATAACGCGAATACTGTTAAGAAGTGACCTAATTCCTGATTTTATTTCAAAATCTTAATTTTCACTGAAAATTGAGCATATTACTTAATTGTGTATATATTTGCCGTATAATTATATAAGGTTTTGCTCCTGAATATTATATAAATAACAAAACGCTCTTATTTCAATTGCTGTATAAGGTGCTTGAAAATATAAGACGCATACAACTTTGGAGGATTAATTTTGATATTAAAAAAGTTTATTCTGTAATATTCATACAATAATATAATACAGCATGATGATATGGCATTATCATATAATTTTATTTATATTATCTGCTTATGTGAAAAATTATCATAAAAAATTATTAAATTTATTGTATTCTTATGAAATTTGTGTATATTATGATTGTTTTTCTCCCCTCAGTTTTTCTTTACTCAATAAATGTCTTAGAAGTAACTCATTCTTTTATATGCACATGTATAAAAGTAACTATGAATAATATATTGTGGGTTGGCAATGAAAATTAGTGAATTAGTCTAGAATATGAATCTACTAAAAGCATAATATAACCATATAATGCTGTATATTATATATTGCATATGGTAGTTAAGTACAACACAAAAACAAAACAAAAGAACACAGAAAAGAACAGCAAAAGGTTAAAGTCTAATGTCCAGGTGTTCTAACTGTTCCAAAGCTTCACTATTACACTAGTGTATGTCTATCAAATTTCCATCAAAGGATTGCAGAGGGCAGTCTTGAACTATATGTTTAATAATTTGAATTCGATCTACAGTCATACCTCCTGGTTTCAACTTGCCATGCTATATCTGGTCCATGTCAATAGAATCAGTTGGCAGATGCAATTATCTTCTCAACAAATGGAATATGTCCAGAGATGCATTCTGCAAATGTGGTTGAATTCAAACTATTAAACTGTATATTTATACTTCTGATTAACTTTAGGATTAAAATGCAATTATTTTATATGCAATTATATGTTAATTCAATATTGGGAAAAATTACAAAAATATGGCTTGCAAATATTTAGATTTTAGAAAGGCATGCTTGGTTTTTGTTTATCTGTACATATTTGAAAAACAAGTAAATGGCATGTTTGGGACAAGACTATGTCTCAGAAAGCGTGAGCAATGCATGCGCAAATCTTGCACTCATGCCTGTTTGTAGAAACAATCAGCATTTCATATTTTCTTTTGACCTGGTTTTCAGTCCCCTGACTACCTACAAGTCTGGTTTATTTTATGTGCACATGATTTGGGCACCAAATTGCAACTCCTGACATGTATTCCTTCATACCTCTAAGGCAGTGATTCCCAAACTTTTTTGATTTGCCGTCCCCTTTGTTCCATAAAGTTATACCCAACACCCCTAACCCATTTTCTCTTGTGTGAGAAATATTCTTAGGAAAACTTTTTTATGAATCCCACACTTTGTGCCCTTATAGCCCATTCGCATCGAGCATTTCGATCTAGATTGTGACTAAGGTCGGAGCCAGTTCCGCGGTGCGAACGCTCTCGACCGTTTCAATCTCGACTGAAACAAGGTTCAATCACGATCGACTGGAGAGAGTTCTTGAAACTAGATCCAGTTATAAGAGAGATCCCACAATCCCACGCACGCAAGAAAATACAAGATGGCTGCAGAACACATGTCAGGCTATCGACAGAGAAATAAGAAAGACATCTGGAGAGACGACGACATCTGTATTATTATATGTATGGCAAGAAAAAGTATTTATTTCTAACCAAAACTTCCATTTTGTTTGTTGGTGTTTGTGAGTTACTGCGTAGTTACATCAGTTTTATCATCGCGTGTAATAGCCAGGTTCTTCTCGAGCGGACTGCCTGTGCGAACAGCATGACGTTCGACTAGTGACGGTCACAATCCAGATTGTAGATAAATCGAGATTGAAATGAGTCGTAGATTGTGTGCGAACGTAGTATTACTGTACATTGTTCTCAACATCTGGAAACCATTAAATACAATGTTTTCTCTTATCAGTTTAACAGAGGAAAGGTAATGACTTTCATTGACCCCAATTTTGCCTTCGGTCACCATTCAATACCCTGCCCCCAGCGCCCCCTAGATTTACTCATCGTCCACAAAGGGGCGTTATTGCCCACTTTGAGAAATGCTGCTCTAAGGTGTGCAGCCGTTGACAGTATCACAATTTTAGAGAGGAGACATAGTCTCATCAATTAAGGTAAATAAGATGTTAATATAGAACTATTTTTGCAATTTTTTGTGTCTGATATATCATATTTTGTTATCTGGACTATGCTGAACTCTTACATAGCTTCTATTATGGATGGATTTATATAATTATAATCATCATCATGTGAGAGTCTAGATCAGGGATGGCAAATCTTTGAGTATGCTTGCCATGTAGCAAGCATGCTTATCTTTAAAAATGTTTGTGCACTGGACTTCAATTAACGTTATTTAAAGAAATGAAATGAATATGCTTTAATTAGAATAAATGTAAAAAAGCTGATTGAAAAAAGTGATAAACCAAAATCGCATGTTATGTTATGTGCCAGATGATTTATTCCAATGCTCCACAGATTCGGCACCCATGGTCTAGATATTTTAGGTGAAAGCAATATTAATTGAACAGCATTGTGTTAGAAGACTAGTTTATATAAAATATATGGTTATATTGATCAATGATCAGAAAAGAGTGGAAAAAATATTTAAAAGCTTATAAATTTGTAATTTAAATGATTAAAAGAACAGTCGACCCCCCTATAACACGGTAGATATGTTCCACTTTATAAGAATTTCACGTTGTAGGAATCCTTAAATACATGAACCAATCACAGCCCAGCACGTGTGCAATTTACAGACTATGGCTATTTGAAAGGTTTTCTTCCATAAAATTAATTGATTCTAGACTAATTTCACTCAACATTTCCAAAACACATATAATTTTTTGGGAATAATCAGTATAAACCAGTGATGGGCAAACTTTTTAAAGAGCGGGCCAAAGGAAAAGAAGAAAACTTTAGGCGGGCCAATATAACTGTAACCTAGCGCTACATCTGAAAATCCAGGTGGCGCTATAAAAACATGTGCAGGCGTCTGCCGTATTTCTTTTTCTCTCTTTCGGCTACGCTACGCACAATGAGTGGATGTTCTGTACCGAAGCATGCTTGTAGCCGATCGAGCTTTTACTCAATAAGTGTAAAACAAAATTTTGTACATGATTGTAAATAAACTTTCATGGTGAGATATAAAGCTTCGGTTATTTTATATAATCAACGAACACTCAAGTTAAGTGGTGAAACAACCACCACAGCCTGTATTCTTTTTTACTCGTCAGATTAGGAATAATGTCACGCAGGCCGGATAGAACATTTCAGGGGGCCGCATCTGGCCCACGGGCCGTAGTTTGCCCATCACTGGTATAAACTATGCTATAAACAAAAAATTGTAGGATTACTTACCGAGTGTGCACAGTTCGACGATGCCATTGCTTAAGCTTGTTTTTGTTGCGGAGCAGCGCGCCAAATGGCGGGTGCATTTTCTGATAAGTTATTTTTCTGTGAAAAATTCGCTGAACTTTGGAGACATCATTAATAGGAATAATTTTTATGGCTGTTGAATAAGAAATGATTTTTTCACAAGAAATGTATAAAATTACAGAACTGTATTAGACTTACAGTATCTAATTTATATACTGTACAGACGATAGTAAACCCAACTTACCACCTAAACTGTCCGTAGTGTGTAAGTAGTTCGGTTGCTCGTCCACTATTGGTCCAGATTCAATCAATCCTGTCGCAACACGAGCCAGCAATGACGTTTTACTGCATTTTACGAGTCTCTTTTAGCATCTTTATATGAATATGGTTGCAATTTTTTTGCCGTGATATATGAATCTGCATTTTATGAACCTGCGTTATAGGGGGGGTCGACTGTATATTTTATCTAGTTCAAGATAAAAATATTTACAAAGTATATTTAAATATATTTATTGTCCTAGCCATTTTATTAACATTACAATTATTTAATAATCATTTATTAAATAATCCATATACAGTATTTATTCATAAAATAGTAAGAAATTTGAAAATCTTGAGAATTTAAAGATATATAGTGGAATCTCATTAAAAATACTTTTATTTTTAATTATGTATTTTCAATTTTATTTCTATAAAGTTGCAAATTTTGTATAAATTGCAAATTATCTATAATAATGATTCCCAAACTTTTTTGAGCCACTGCCCTCTTGGTTCCATAAGCTTATACCCAATATCACCTAACCCATTTTTCATTGTGTGAGAAAGGCTTGCAATTATTCTGAGAAAAACTTTTCTATGCACCTTACACTCACCATACAATGTTCTCCACATCTGGAAACCATTAAATGCAATGTTTCTTCTTACCCGTTTTGATAGAGGAAAGGGAAAAATTGTGACCCAATCCTCACTTATGATTACTGTTCAGTACCCTGTCTACCACTTGCTCTTTTCACCCTCCTAAGATTTATTCACTGCCCACAAGGAAACCCCTGATCTTAAAAGATAAGTTCATAAAAAAATGGAAATTTCAATTTTGATAATATCACAATTACAGAGGAATTTTTGATGAATTATTTTTAATTACAAGTTGAATCTAAATAATTTATTATTACAAATTGAATAATGCTATCTTTATTTCAAAAGAAAGTATGGAAATTTTGCAAAAAAAGTTTACTCAGTTTCATAACAATTTTTAATACAGTAGAGCGTCGATTTTCCGAAAGTCAATCATCCGAAAGAATTCCAGTCGGCAAATTTAAATTTTCGCCAGTGCTGTGGCGCTTCAATCTTTGGCTATGTCTTGGGCTACTCAAATATTTTACGTTTTTGATACTAAATTAACATCTGAAGTATAATTT